AGGCCAGTAGGAAAATGTTTGCGGCTGCCGGTTCACTGCGCAGATGGAAAAATCTTCTCCCTATAAAGACCAAAATTGAACTTGCGCAATCACTCCTTGTGCCTATTTTGGACTACGCTGACGTTTGTAACATTGACTTAAATGAAGTACTTCTAGACAAGCTTCAGCGTCTCCAGAATCTTTGCATTCGCTTCATTTATGGCCTCCGCAAGTTCGACCATGTGTCCGAATTTAGGAGGGAGCTAAAGTGGCTTCCTATCAGACTGCGCCGTGAAGAACATGCTCTCACTTTGCTTTATAATGTGTTGTATGGTCCTCGCACTCCCCCTTATCTTAGGGAACGTTTCAAATTTCTAGGTATGGACCACAACCGCATGTTGCGTTCCAAAAATGATAATTTGTTGGAGATCCTTTTAACTCGCTCAGAATATTATAGGGATTCCTTTACAGTCAAAGTGGCTCAACTTTGGAACAAGCTGTCGTCTGAAATCCGGAGTTCAAAGTCACTTCCCGTATTTAAAAGTAGACTACATACTCTCCTTCTGCTGCGAACTTAGTCTACTTTAACATTACATAATATGTTGTTAGTATGTAGGTATATATTTATGTTTAATTATATATATGTACATGTGGTATGTATGTGTATATGTATATGTAAGTGTATGATAGACAATTACTTATATGTACGTATATTATATTAATTACATATTTACATTTCTCATCGACTCTGCTGGCTTACTACATCTTCTTTTCCGTTTAACTTACCTATACCGCGAAGTTTGTCTGGAAGAGATCGCTTGTAGCGATAAGACCGCCTTTGCCCATATTATTGTTAAATGTATTCTTTGTACCTATGTCCTTTTGTATGTGAGCAATAAAGTGTTTATTATTATTACTATTAAACTAAACTTTGGTTAACAACAATTGCGAAAATTCAAACCAAATAGACATTAAATTGCTTCAAAAGCAACTGTAAAAAAAAATTTACTGTTGCATTATTTTTTTCAAATCAGTGACCAAGCTCGGCTTTTGTTCTTTATTTTAAATTCTAAAATTCAAATATGCCAGCATTAAAAATGCATAAAAACTTTTTTGTTATATTGTATATTTTTTGTGTATTGGGCTTTTAGGCCCGGGAATGTAAGGTGGCTCGATTCAAGAGTCCGGGAGTGTATTATAGAAAATTTTTACTAGAAAAAAAATCTCATGTATTTTTTGTTCTTGAAGAGAACGATTTATGCAGTGAACGTTAACCAAAGTTTTCTTAGCACTGAAGACAAACCAGTCAAGCTAATAACTTTAATATAATTATGATGTTTTAGAATACGGGCATCCAATACTTCCCGTTCAGGCCACTAACATTATAAATATGGAAAGGACATTGCTCGTTCCCCATACATTGAATGCCATGGAACGCACAGCAATGAGAAAATGCTAGATGTGTTCGCAATCAGTCATACACTCTAATTAGGCATTTGTTGAGATATGGACAACTTGAGGAACAGTGGCCTACTACAGAATGTATTAGATTTGGAGGTTATAATTATTATACTTAATCGTAAAAGATGTACACTTTATATATTCTGAATAGATTTAGTGTTTACCTCTATGTAAGCACTTGAATAATATGCATTAAATGAACATAAAATGCAACTAATAATAAAAATAATAAATGCTTATTGATTAATGAGTGTTGGTAGTTGGCACCTATGATACCTATACCTACCTGTTGTAATAATAGATTTCTTTTCAAATGAAATATTCAAAGTCTTTCTATTTACCTTTTTCTATATTTTACTATCGGTAATAAGGTATGTACCTGGTTATCATTATGATTTTCATAAAAATAAACAGATATTATATGGGATGGGAGTATAAACTATCTTTACATAATTTCAGAAATAATGTTTTTATGAATATAATATCAATACTAGTGACAAGTATCATTAATTAAGGATTAACTAAGGTACCTACCTAGTTCTATTCATAAGTTGATAAACACTTATGGTCGCCTATATTGCATTTATTAAGGTAAACAATCTTGGCACAACTTTTTAACAAATTCACCCATTTAAAAATAAAATAATAACGAAGCCAATAAGCTTTTTAAATAAATCGTTATTATAGACTGAAACCTATTGAATCCAGGTATCAGTAGATTTTTAATACTATATTTTCAATAAAAAGGAGTGCCAAGATTGTTTAACAAATAGGACAAGTTAGGATGAACAGACTGTAGTATCTAGTAAAAGAACTTTTATTTTTTATTTTTGTAAACAGATTGTCCGTTTACTATGATTAATTGCTAATAAATTAAAAAAATAATAGAAAAATAATAGTGAAGGACATTCTTTTGGGCATGCTAGGGCCGATTTCGTCGATGTCCTTTAATTTAATTTACTCTTTGGATATCAAATGTTTACATATTTTTCTCTAGGACTTCCCATCTATGTATATTAGTAGATAGGCTGAGCTGTACTGAGAAATTGTTCACTAAGTAACGGTCAATGTGGCCAATTGACCAAAATTTAATTAGTCGCTTGCGAGCTATAATACAGCCATGACCATAATGTATTATGTACAAATGCTGGGATTTATCATACAAACATTTGTCTTTTGGGATTCGAACCCAGGTACTCTAAGTAGGTGATACTTTGAAAATTGATGGACCTGTGTAGGTATATCTGTTTTCAAGCTATTCAAGCAGTGGTACATACCACTCCACCACGGATAATGTGAAAATTAGCTTCCAGGAAAACTTAAGGAATGTCATCAAGCTATATAAATAGCATTTTCCATAAAAAACCATAATTGCGTCTATAAGATATCGACTTTTAGTTTTTATTAAAATTTATTTTTTAAGCAACACCAAAGTGGCGTGTAAGCGATTTTGCTTTTCTACTGTTGATATGATTTTCAGTCTATGACACCTCAAAATTATGTTTGAGAAAATCACTCATATAACACAGGGAGAAAAAACAGCCCGTGCTGAGTTTCTTGTCGGTTTTTTCAGTACGAGGTCTCCCTCCGTAGATCGTTGATTCGTGAACCGATGGTGTAGCTTTTCGACATTCACAAGTGCTTTTAACAGACGATTTTGAATTAGTAATGGCTGGTCATATGATGGGAGAACAAAGTTATTATCTCGAGCTCCTCTGCTTCTATAGCCATTAGGACTTCTAATCTGTAGTAGGCAGGAGTTTTGATATAGAAATGGGGCATTCAAACGGCCCACCTGATGGTTTTGCGGCCACCATAGATATTGCTTACTCTGTCTACCAAGACCACATCTCCTATCTCATAGCGGGAACCCTTCTCATCGACAGAATCACAATGCCACAGTAGTGTTCCAATGTGGTCTTTTCTAAGGTGGTAGGTACTTCCCCAGACAGGTGCGACAATTCGAGCGGAGAATCAGCGATGCCCTATCTCTCTGACGCTGTAATGCAGAGGACAGTCATTTGTTTCATCGAGCTTATCCTGCCCAAGAGCAGTATTGCGAACTAGTTACTATCAATATGTATCAAAAGAAAACTATTTGCAGTGTATAATCAATCTGTTTGACTGAGCCTTCATTTGAGTATAAATGAAAAAACAACTAAGCTTAATCGAATTGAGTTCTATTATTCTTGTAATATAGGTAATATAGGAAAATTTTACTAGAAGCAATTCCACTTAATCCAGGCGTCAGACGGGATTCAAACCCGTATGTTCCACTATCCGCATAGTTTTCAGTTTAAACAGAGTCAAAAGACGGTACTCCAAGTTCCGTTTAACATTATCGCGTGGAATTCACTGTGAAAGTGTGGAACTAGGGGCGTCACACGCAGAGTTGAAACCATACTTTTATGCTGGTTGAGTGTTGCTCGGTGATATGCTAGTCGCGTCTGCCTCAAAAAGCTTTCATAACAGCCAGTGCGCTTAAGTTTGCTAAGAAGTTAGTGTCTGTTTTGTTGAATTTTGAATAAAAATTGTACCGTCTATGATTTTCCTACACATTTGTTTTTGACAACACTTATGCACCTAGGAAAAATATTTTTTTACATATGTAAAAACCTAGTTGTATTTTTATTAGATAAAAAAAATACTCATCGAGATTTAAAGGACATCGACGAATTCGGCCCTAGCATGCCCAAAAGAATGTCCTTCACTATTATTTTTCTATTATTTTTTTAACTTATTAACAATTTATCATAGTAAACGGACAATCTGTTTAAAAAATAAAAGTTCTCTTACTAGATACTACAGTCAGTTCATCCAACTTGGCACTCCTTTTTATTGAAAATACAGCATTAAAAATCAACTGATAACTGGATTCAATAGGTTTCAGTCTATAATAACGATTTATTTTAATAGTTTATTTTCTTCGTTAATATTTTATTATTAAATGGGTGATTCTGTTAAAAAGTTGTGCCAAGATTGTTTACCTTAGTTATGCAATATAGGCGACCATAGGTATTTATCAACATAAAAATAGAACTTACCTTAGTTAATAGTACTTATTACTAGTATTTATATTATATTTATAAAAAGATTATTTCTGAAATTATCTAAAGATAGTTTATACTCCCATCCCATGTAATATCTGTTTATTTTTATGAAAATCGTAATGGTAACCAGGTACATACCTAATTACCGTTAGTAAAATATAGAAACAGGTAAATGGAAAGACTGAACATTTCATTTGAAAAGAAATCTATCATTACTTACTACAGGTAAAATCAATAAGAATATAAGCATTTATTATTTTTATTATAAATTGCATTTTATGTTCATTTAATGCATATTATTTAAGTGCTTACATAGAGGTAAACACTAAATCTATTCAGAATATATAAAGTGAACATCTTTTATGATTAAGTATAATAATTATAACCTCAAAATCTAATACATTCTGTAGTAGGCCACGGTTCCTCAAGTTGTCCGTATCTCAACAAATGCTTATTTAGAGTTTATGAATGATTCCGAACACAACTAGCATTTTCTCATTGCTGGGCGTTCTAGGGCATTCAATGTATGGGGAACGAGCAATGTCCTTTTATTTCAAAAACAGTTTATTTAAAAAGGTATCGTAACAATCACAATATACACAGATCTTTCAATACACTATTTATCGGTGAAATGTGAGTCCAGTGATTTTATCAGTTCTATGGTCGGATAATACAACAGTGTGTCTGCGTCAATAGCCCAAATAAAATCGACATGGTTGAATGTGTTCAGAGGTACTCTGTGCTTGGTGGGATTCGGTAGTTCCTTGTATAATCGCTCGACATCGGCTAAATGAGCTAGAGGATCGTTTGGCGTATAGTGAAGGTACACCGGAGCGGTGATTCTGGAGAGATCGTAATCTGGAGGCTGAGCAGTACCGTAAGCCAAAATGTTCCCTATTGTTGTACCATGGTTAAAGCGCCGGAACACGTTTTGGTGAATTCCTTGGGCGTAATGAATTATTTGTCGGCTAGATGCGCCGGCTGGGGTGTGACCCAATTTCAAAGGCAGCAACGTCTGTAACAAAGTTTTAATAATGAAACGCATTGATAAATGTAGGAGTAGTGTTATTTTTTCGCCATTCCGAACTTACTGCATTAAACTGTTCTTCATTTCTTCCTGCCAATAAGAAGATGAGGTTGGTACATAGAGGCTGCCACTTAACGTCGTCCATGCAAAAGTTTTGACCAGCCCATGTCGTAGCTTGGTTATTAGGTAAGAATTCAGTAAAACCAATCAAAGACAATGCAAGCTGAAAAAACAAAACAATTAGCTAAATAAAGTCCCAAAATTCGGATATACTTATATTTGTGATCATCACATTTTATTTTCGTAAATAATGCATCTTGCTTAGACTTTTTGATGTGAGTATATTGTAAACTAGATGACCCTGCGAGCTTCGTACCGTCTGAAAAATAGGGGTTGGTAGTAGACGGGTGAGGTCATGTGTGTTTTTAATGTCAAATCATAAAAAATAACATTGTCCAAAAAATAAAAATGGGTTAAAATTTTTACGTCCTATTCTCAGACGTACTGATAGGTATACATACACACAAAATTCCATATAAACTGATCAAGTCATTCAGCACTACATAATATATGGACTTACCTCGATTCTAAGGGCATAAGGGGCCAGAAAGCGAAATACTGGGTTTTCATTGTGTGCCATATAAGCCACGGGTGCGAACGCATGCATGGATAAAATCTTTTGATTGTATACTGGTCGCAAAGATCCCATGACGAAGAACACCGTGGTGCCCTGAGAATGACCGACGTAGTGGAGACCGTCCCTTCCGGATACAGCGAGCGCATAATCTATCATTGCAGGAAGATCTCTGTTGCCTATTTCGTCCCAAGAAAACCTCCAGAAAGTGCCGGTCCTCTTCGAGTTCGGATTTAGTGTTAAATGCCTGCGAGAATAATAGGTACCGCGAGCATTGCCCATCCAGACGTCGAAACCCTCTTCAGCTAGAATGTAAGCTGTAATGGAAAAGGATGAACGTTTATTGTGTGTCGTAATGCTGTTTTTGATAGGGTTTAACTAAGTTTTATTAACTCTTAATTTTTTAACATTAGGTATAGCCTGCACGGTTTTTGCGTCAGCCACTTAAGAGTGTAAAATTTTAGGGAAACAAGATAAAAAAGGGAATGGAAATTTAAAAGTAAAGTATTTACACATTTACAGGTTTTTATTATGTTGCAGGATTTTGAAGCAAAGTATTTATAGAAGTCGGGAGAGGAATATGAGGGGATGTTAAGGAGTCAATAAAAGAGAAACAGTCATATAAGGAGCACGCGAAAAAATATGGTTTAAATAGCCAACATCAGCGTCACCATTACACATACTGCTGTTACTGCTATTGACTATTCCTTATCTGACCAGATGAGAACAGGTGCAAACATGACCCAGTCTCAACCGAGTCATAGTAGAGGTCGTTATCTTGCCAAATCTAAAATTATCGGAATACTCTTTTATCGGTAGTAAATATACTAAGACTATCCATGGTACTTCGTCCCTTTCTATAAAACGTATTGTGCTATTTTGAAAATTTTGAAATAACACAGTAGGTAAAAACTTAATAATTTTGGAATCGCAAATTAATATCAAAGTAAACAAGTTCGCGCCGCCAAAGAATTGGGATTTATTATATCATTATCATGTTGGTGTTTTCTAATCTACCTTGTCAATCTTGATATTACATTCACTAAATAAAGTTCAAAGTTTCTTAATTTGATATAATTACTTATGTATTTAGACATTACATTCACATGGAAGTCAAATCTATTTAAGTGATAAGAATGCGTGGATATATTTATGAGACACAGTTGAATTGATTTTTTGTTGAAAAGTAATTTCATATTTAATAGGGTTTGGATAAGAAATTAAATCAACCTATCATTGACAAATATGATGGTACGACCTGTCCTGGCACACTTGAGATGCGGTCAAAAAGTAGTTATTCGAGCATTTGAAGTAGAAAAAAACATCAACGAGTATTTACCGAAGGAACATCCGGGACCTTTTACCACCCAATCAGCTGATGAAGAGAACAGACCATGCATGAGAAAAACGACGGGCCTGGGACCAGGTTTGTTGTTACGGTCCCTACCATGGGGTATACGGTGCACTCCGAGAATGTACCCATCCTGAGTCACCACATCATGAACTTCTAAAGGGTATCCATATTTTCGGACAAGTTCCGGCTGAAATAAATTATTGTTTTGTTTTATTATTGTATACCTGGTATCATTAGGGTCGCTTACAAGACTTGTGTCTACGTCTGCAGACAGTATCAAACCGATATGTCCTATAATTACTGTCTGCAGTGCCGATGTTAAGAGTAACAGGGGAGTGCCCGTCACGACATAAAGAGGTCAATAAAGAAATTCTCACCACGTCCAGAGAAGCATCTTCTAGAATATCGTGCGCTATCCTGGAGTCGGATTTGGCCAACTGGGCGACGAGATCGGCATGTGGCGAGCTTCTCACTGCCACCACACTACATAACACCAAGACAGATACGAGTATCATCGTTCTTTATGGATATACCGATGCGAACGTGGAACCGATATTTCTTTTTATATTATCAAACGACGCCGATAAAGTTATCAAGGAGATAATTTCTATTCAGGATTTATTTTCTAAAGATCGCTCGAAACGATAATTAATGAGTTATTTATCTAAAATTTACCTTGATTTAGAAACCGCTCTGTAATGCTAGGCAAACAATCTGACACATACTCAAACACTCTGTTTTAATTTGCGAAACCTTATCAACAGGAGTCTCCTTATGAGGAATTTCCCTTTGGAGGAAATGATTAGTATTTGTATTTAGTTACTACAAAGATTTATAATTTTCAAATCTTTCTTTCTTTCTTGCATAAAGTTAGACAAATTTAACTTTATAAAATATATTATTTCATATTTAAATTCATTACAATGAATTTGTTTTCCATCGCTTTCGTACAGTACAGGTGAAGGTTTGAGATTGACATAATTATTGCAAGGCATCCTAGCCAACCCTTTATAAGAGGAGGCTGGTGTGCTTTGCAACAAGGTAGCAACAATTGTATGTAATAAGTAATTATTTATAAGAAAATTGTAAGGTGAAGTTGTGATGGGGCTGGTATGGACAATTTGGCCCAAAAGTCAGTAGAAAAAAAAATAAAAAAAATGGATGCGTGTAACTTATGTACGCGCGTGAGAAGTTATACTTCTTTAGCATCATTAAAAATATTTTTTAATTGCATGCAAATAATTAATAATTACAATAAAATAATAAAAGGACTGGAAAAGGATAGTTAACGCAGTCAATTAAGTTCAGTTTTAATTTGAAAAATTAAATAAATATTCAAAATATTCAATTAAAATCACTACTGAATTTAAGTTATTAGTCCATATGTAATTAGCACTTGTAAGTAACTAAAACATGTTGTGTCTATATAGAAACTAGAAACATGTGGATAAATATTATAAATATGAAAACAGTGATCAGAGGCGACGAGCGTGCCAACATTGTTTTTGACAACGCGATCATCTTAAGGAGCTCCGTGGATCGTTCAAAGTACCTTTCGAACAGATGTCTAATAACCACTTAGTGGTTAATAATCCACCATTATTAGACACTAACATTCATAACGCGCCCGCGGCCAACTTCATGGTGTTACTATTGTGTTACAGTGATGCGCGCGCATCTCGAAATTTCACTCACATGATTTTTTCATAACGCGCCCGCGGCCAACTTCATGCTGTTGCTTTTGGGTTACAGTGATGCGCGCGCATCTAAAAATTTCACTCTCATCATTTTTTCATAACGCGCCTAAAGAAGTATAACTTCAATAAAAAATATTATCACCTACATTTCTGACCTTTCAGCTATATTTTCAATCACTTTGTTTCATTCATACTAACGTTTTCCTGGCATTTAGCCGCTGAAGAAATAAACTTGAGTTCCTTCTACAGTTGCTTGAGTTATGATAGAGAAAGAGTGTTGCATTTTTCCAAAGCTTATCTCAGCCGAGCCTTTGTTAAATGATGATCATATGGTTAATTAATGATTATGATATTTATTATTGTAGCAATCGGTTTTTATTATAATCATGATGATATCATATCATATGTACCGTATCAGGAATAAATTGTTTGCTTTTTTTTAATGATACCTACTAATATTTTTAACGATCACCTTTTCACATTGCACATATCTACAATGTTATTTAATTATAGATATTTAAATGTAAAACTTTAAAACTTCAATATTTTTCTTTATATTTCTAGTTGGTAGTAGTAGTTTCTAGTTTATATTATATAAATAAACTAGCGACCGCCCTCGACTTCCCCCTTTAGTTTTAAGATAATCCTTCAGTAACCTAACATTATTCTGAGATACAAAGTATCCTGTGTTTTGTAGTGTTTGTTTTTAAACAGAGCGTGACACTGACACACGTAGGACAGCTGTTTTGTCTATGATGGCGAACCGCTTACGTCAGCGTAGCTGTCAAACTTCATTGATTGGGTTGGTAGCCTTGAGGGAAGAGTCGATTTTCCTATTCGATTAAAATATTCGCCTTGAGACTTATAAAAAAAAAAAAAAAAAAAAAAAAAAAAGTTATCAGGCGGTGAATCTCTGTGGGGGCGCGTGGATGAATGGATGGAGTTTGACAGTTGTTGAATTTTGAATAGTCTTTCCCAGATCGATTTGAGTGCTGTTTTTAATCGATTTTGAATTTTACTCGAAATTGAATATTTCCTCGCTGATTCGGGTAGGTATTCCCTTTTCCTCAGCTTACGGCGAGCGTAGGTATATAGTTTTGAGTTTATTCTTCGGTTCGTCTCGAATGCGGCGGCTGTCTGTTTGACTGTGGCCTTTGCCTTCAGTTGAAGTGGGAAACAAATCATAGACACATGTTTGGGAGTGGCCGATCCGTCTATCATCTATGAGCAATTGTCAAAACAACTTTTAAAATTTCACAATCTGTTTGTGGTACAGTTAACTTTTCATCTTTTCTTCTGCCCAAAGTATAATAAACGGCATATTATTGTCGTCGAAGTCGTGAGATAGATCCGAAAAGTTTATATCCCGAAGGATATTGGCGGAAAAAGCGCGGAGTCGCTAACCGAACTGAGTTTCGTGGGTATATTGGAGTGGCTCTTTTTCCTACATAATTTACAAGTTTGGGCTGTGAAAATAACCTTTCTGTTGATATTCTGTATCGTAGGTGGACGAACACGAACCTTCACCAGGCGATTGCAATAATAAGGCGGTAACTTGTGATAGGAAACAAAATACTTACGGATAGTTTCATAATTCGAACGGTAAGCTATCATCTGATCTCATATTTATTCTCCTAGCACTAATTGAACTGCATTATGCACAATATAGTGATTCTTGTCATCAAATATACCTAATCATTCTTGTCAAGTTAGTGAACGTGGAATTGATTTTCTTCAAACCGGGTGGGACGGGCCCCCAGTCCTGTATTGATTCAAATTTTAAAGTGTAAACATTGACCGTGAATATCCTTCACTCCCTCACCCACCACAGATGTGGTAATCTATGTATTTTCCCCCTATCTGATCATTTTTTTTCAATGTGAACTTCAGGCTTGTACGTTCCCCTCAAGAAATACTGGAGGACTAACAAGGAGACTTTTGTTCTGTGCACGGACCAGAAGGGGCGCGGGAGTTTATTTGCCAGCCGCTCTCCGGTTTTATGTAACCCGGCCGAACAGCAGACAGATTATACACAGCTTAACCTATCATAGTCAAGGTATTTCTCTACTAACCCCGGGTGAACGTGAAAAGGAAACAACAGGCGAGGTTGGACCCCGACTTACCCATTTCCATATATTTACATATATCTATATAGCTGGTTATCTCACTGAGAACTAGAATTAACTAAGTTGGTCACCAATATCGATCAAACGAGCCGTAGAACCTCTGAAATCCACTCAATAGCTTATTCAGTCTAGTCTATGTGGTATTTGTGGATAAAATATATTAGTAAGGATTATATTGTAAGTACATGGTAAAGTGTTATGAATGTTTGATATTCATATAATTATAACCTTTCATGACAACTTGTTGGTTTATATACACATTAACTTTGAACTACTGTATTCAGCTTAGATATTTATAATTAGTGAAACATAGTTATTATATAAATAATGAACATAGTTAGACTTGTTGATTTATATAAGCAATAACTTAAATCTACTGAAGTCCTAGGCTTTGGTATCTAAAGTGGATAAAATATACTTATAACATTATCTTAATTTTTTGGTTTTCTTTTATTGTTCCCCCGGTGCTCTGAGTGGGCTAAAGGAGGGCTGTTGAAGAGAATTTAACATCACAGTTTTGATTCATGTAATAAACTATATGTGCGCCAAATCTTATCCAAATCTGTTCAGCCGTTTGAGCGTGAAAGAGTAACAAACATCCATACAAACTTTCACGTTTATATTAAAAGTAAGAAGAATATCTTTAATAATCAGATATGTTGTTCCCTGTTACCATTAACTATAACGATATTTGGCTAGTAGGTGCCGATGGCTGTTAGCTTTAACAACTAAGTGACACCTAAGTTGCCTAACGAGCTTTGCGGCCGCGTCGCAGCCGTCCGTAGCGGGCGCTTCGTTCGTGTGGAGTTACGCTAATGAGCAGGGCTGGGTCGCACGGCCGAACGAGTTGCGATCCTCTCTCTATTTTGACTTCATGAATGTTCATAATAAACATTTACTCATAAGCTTTTTTTCAGGTCCGTGCTTGTAAGTAGCAGAACATAGCTGCAGTCAATTTTCACCGCGGAATTCGCCGGTGTGATTTGAAGTTTGTTTGAAATTCGTGTTTCGCCAAAGGAATTCCATACATGTTTGGCCTAAAGACCAATAATCCTGAAAAATTGTTTCCTAGATCCGAAATTATATATAAATTACTGCAGAAACGAATATTATTGACGGACACCCTTGAGAACTTCTATAAACCATATACACTGAACGATTTTGAGGTTATGTTTACAAATAGGTACATGGGTAATAAAAAAACACATAAGTTATATAGTAAACTAGGGAAATCAAGCCAAGTACCGAAATTATGTGTTAGATTCAGGTATATACAGCATGTAGATTAACAGATAGTTTTGCCTGTTTTTAAACTTAATGCACATGAGTAACTTTTAAAATCAGGTATCATCTATTAATTTCCGGTTATAATAAGGAAGGTACCACAGTGTAATAAAAAAAATGTTTTATTATATCGATCTTTACAAAATAGATTTGATTTTATGTTATACATATAAACAACTTCGATCAGTCTTTGGCTGAATGTTATTACACCCATAGCCATTAAAAATGATTCGTATGTTTTTCAAACCGGTAAAATCAAAAGTCCTTTTTTAAAATGAATATATTATACAAAGGTGTCCGTTCAAATCTAATAACTGTAAAATAAAGTATAAATTACGCCATGAATTACCGTATATGTCAATATTTTTTGTGCATTTGGGCCAATTTGAGCAATCTCCTTTGACATTGACATTTCGGTTTGCAAACTATCTGAATTCGATAATGGTTTGTGCTAAGGGTACGGTACCCTTAGCACGAACCAAAATTGAAGTCGTAACGTTTGCGAGCCCGAAATGTCGTTGTCAAATCTGTACTGATTTTTAGTTCACGTTACGTACTTTGTGCCGCTGCTGTTCTAGTTTTCATACAAAATTTGACATTGACATTTCGAATTGCAAACTATTCGA